CCACGCACTCTCTCTCTCTCTCTCTCTCTCTCTCTCTCTCTCTCTCTCATTCACACATTTGCGCACACGCGCATGACAGTTTCTTTTTCTCAATTCTTTCTCTCATTTTCCCTTGAAAAATACTTCGTGGTGCACGATTGCTCTGTTTTTTCATGCATTACTTGATTCCAACAGTTTAGTACAATTCTACGATCTTAATATCGCGAGTGTCTTCCAACTAGTGTCGTCAATATGATTATTAAAACTCGCTAATGAGGTGAACATCCTTACACGTCTGCCTCTCTTACACGTCTGTCTTTTCCTCTTGTACGCGTGTCGCGTGTATGCACGTACGTGTTTTTGTGTATAATAACTGTGTCCGAGTCTGTGTGCAAGGGGGCCACCTTCCTATCGTTAATGAATACCATTTTTGTGCGCGTTCTAACGATTAACCATTACAATGATCAACGGTGTCTAGTTTACAATTAATATCTTTGGTATCATGCCTGAGTCTTCCGTTTTACGAAAAAATCACTAAACAATTATTCGATAGAACCTTATTTGGGTACGGGTATGCGAGCGATTTGTCGTATCAAACTTAGAAAAAGATTCGTCCTTCGTGCGATGCGAAACAAGCGATTAAAAATGCTAGTTAGTTTCCCGAGGGGTAAATGTACTTGCGACAAGGAATATCGGATTATATGGCAGCTTCAAACCACGTGGAAAAATATAACCACGAGGAGTGTTTTGTGTGAGAGAGAGTGATGTTCCTGCTATCGCTATTCTTGTTTCAAGCACAAAATATCAATTTTGTCTTACAGTCTATATGTTGTGTGGCAGTTTGGATAATCTCCACATTTATTTGTGTATTTTTTTCATTGTATCTTGTTCGATCGGTGAATTAATTCTTCTGTTGGTATTGGCTCACACGGCCGTTTTCTTCTTCTTACAAATTTACGTTGATTCACAAGGACTAATAGTTTATGCTATTAATAAAGTTAACAATTCGCTTTTCGTTAGTTTAAGAAAATTCCATTAGTTTTCGAACGAAGTGTAATGAAGAATAATTTGTGCTTGGAACGATGATCACTTAAGCAATTAATGATAAAAACGTTTAATATAAATTTTGGCGAAAGAAGATTCTTCTTGTTTATGCCAATTGTAAAAATGTATATAAGAAATAGATAAATGCATCGAGGCTCGTCTTTGAAAGATCTTTTCAGTCTTACTTAGTTTGAAGAATAATTTTTCGGCGAGCTCTCAGGATGTATTTTAACGCAGGATTGATAAATTAAATGACTCAACGTTTAATAAAAAAAGGAACGGTAATAAAATTTTATAAAAGTTTACAACCTGTAGTATATATCCGTGTGTAGTTGTGTGCGTGTCAAAGAGTTCAGGTTCGATTGTTCACAAAATTCCACGATCGGTGAAAGACAATCTGCTGGAATGTAGCTTTTCTTCGCGACGCCGTAGAATTGCGGGAGACAGAGATGTCAGAAATCATTGTAACGCACAATTGCGTAATAAAATGATTATGAAAAAAATCGTACAAAAAATATATACAAAGCGCAACGACGAATTCTTGTGAACAAAAGACCATGAGATTCCATCACCACGTGCGTCCGTCTTTGTCTCAGATCCGTCGAGAGAGCCTACGAGTGAAAAAAAAAGCTCTCTCCACGTTTCTCTTGTCACTCCCGACGCTCAGAGAGCATCTTGTCATATAGAATATATCACATACATGTTTACTTCCCTAAACACACTGAAATAAGAAGCACTTTAAGATAGATGTCTACATACACCATCGGGCCCAGATGGACTGATTTCCGTCTCCGTTTTTCAATTCTGTCTTTATAACTTCTAACTGATGTATATGCTTTGTATATACGTATTATGTACATATAAGCGCCTCTCACTTTATCTCCCGCTCTCTCGCTTTCTTCATTTTCTATTTACGTATATGTGCAGGCGTCGAGAATGCGCGTCTCCGAAGCATACACAGAACTAGATAAATCGACATTCGCATACGAGAAACTAGAAAGTAATATCATCTTGGACTACTTTAATATCCCATAAACAGCAGCAACGTAATCCATGTTAGTTCGCTGCTGCGTAGATACATTAATCAACACGTCCTTAAACCATGCAATATAGCAATCTCCACGATTTTATGCATAATATAAATTTTTGCATAATGTGATGATATCACTGGAAAATTTTCACTGAAACATTAAAAACATAAACATATGTAAATTATATTAAATCGCGGATTCATATAAAACATTCATATAAAACATATCAAAACTTTTAAATGTTATTTTACCATGATCAAACATCTTTTTAAATCTAGTAGTCTTCACTGGTTTAAATAAATGCACTATATACTTGTAATAATATATTCAAATATAAATAAAAATAGGAAAAAATTACAAAAAGAAATGATAAAGATACAAATATAAAAACATAGAAATATTATTATTTACAATTAAATGCGTTAATATGGATTCATTTGGTCAATCGCGAAAAACAGTCGGCCAACAATGTCGATCACCATAATCGTCTTCGAATTTCGAGGCACGCAGCAGTGTTACGTGGTCTATAATGGCACTATCAATCACTCGTATTAAATATTACAACGTTAGAAAAATTGCGTGTTTCGAGTTTGCGGATAGTCTCCTTTAATTGACTTTATGAAAAAAGCCTTGTCGTAGTACTATGCTGTGTAACTTTACAATTACACATATCGATATTAATAATCAATTAATAAAATAGTGGAGATTACGACATTTTGTTGCGAACCACCGCGTAACGTTCGCACTATTTTGTCAATCGAGTCTAATCACCAAAGTTCACTCGAGTTTGTAATTCGAGCATCGATAATCGTAGAATCTTTTTTCATTCTGTATTCTACATGTTCATTTTTATGCAGATTAGCACTAGAAGATCTACGATAACCGACAATCGCTACACTAAAATGTTTGCGTTTGCCTTATTTATTCAACAATATACACGGATAAACGAGTTAATAATCATCGTAACGCTCATTTCTGGCTGGAATGTCGTTCCTACGAGGACTAGGAAATGCTGCATTATGACGCTGCGATGATTTGTGAATAGGCAACCTGCAACAAACTGATCTATGCACAGCTATTCGACTCGACGTTTTCCAATATTCGTGATAGACAACCAACTTCACAAGGAAGATTCCTTAACTGATTTCTGTTATGCAAATAAAAAGCGATAACATCTAGACTCGATCGACGTAAAATTCTGAACATTTTAATTTTTCATTACGATCAGCAAAGCAACATCGGTACTGAAACGAAAGCTATGTGCAAAATAAAAGGATTCGGGATCAAAAGAAAGCAAGAAAAGCACTGCGGCATCCATCGAAGTACTGCGAAATTTCTGGCCTGAATTATTCTCTCGATTAATCGCTCTAGATATTTTGGAATAACGCGCTAGGACTGTAGAATGCGCTTTCTCTCTCTCATCCCCTCGCATCGCCGAGCCAAAAGTAAATGATAACGACCGTGATGGCGAGGACGATGACGACGATGACGATGATGATGACGATGATGGCGACGACGAAAACGATGGCGACGACTATGATCGATATATGAAGCTGCAGGGTGGCGTTGGCGGCGGCGGTGGCTGCTGGCCGCTCATGGCGATCGGTACAAGGGTGGGCGAGGGTGACGAGGAGGGAGGGGACGGGGAACTCGACGACACGCTCGACGATGGCGAGGGCGATTCCAGTGCCCTCGGACCGGCGAGCTCACGATTTGACTGTCCCCCGGATGTCACAGCGCGACTCCTGCTGGCCGACGTCGCGTTGTGGCGATTGCGCGCTGGCCGTCCTAGGCTCCGGTGACGGCCACCCCCCTCCTCGCTCGTTTCTCAGAGATAAACCTTCTTGACGCTGCGCGTGGTCGCAAAGCCGTCGTTGCGGCGATACGCGTCCCCCTGATGGGAGCGAAGGGTGCCGAAGTTGTCGCCGCGAGGACCCCCGCGAAAACCGTAACCGTCCGGGAATTGAAAGAGGGTTTCCGTGGGCGTTGGCGGTGGTTTCCTCATGGTACCTTTCGGGGACTGAAGTTTCGGCGGTTGCGGAACCAGTACAGGTTCCGCGTAGGTTACCTCCTCCTGCGGCAGCAACTTCGGTTCAGGTGCCAACCTGCTGAATGTGGATAGGCAAACATTACTAAGAGCGGCAAATGGAGAGAATTATCCTTCTGTCGAGTCCGTTTGTCCGTTGAAGCAAATATCTTACCTGTTGACATTCTGGCGTTGCTCGAAATATTCGTATTCCGTATCCGGATACGGTAGATTGTCGTCCTCGTCTTTCCTGCATTTTCTGCCGCATAGATAACCGGCTACGAAGCCAACGAATAACGCGGCCAATGCACCCGCTACCACAGCCATCACCAGAGTTTCCACGGAGTACTGTGGAGGAGGTGTGTCGGCCGCGGATACTTCCGGACCTGTGCAAAATAAGAGAATATTTTAATCGATTACACGCGACTACACACGTGAAAGAGAATCAAATTCAAGTTGACGTCTACATGCCGCGTACCTGAATTGTCCTGTTCCTCGTCTTGCATGATATTGATGATTTCACCACCCGGGCTGTCCTTATTCGGTATGGAGTCTTGCGGGAACTTGTTCTGATTAGCGGAAATAGCGCCGACGCTGCCGGCATCCTTGTTAAGGCTCTTGCTCGCCGGGCAGGACGCGTGTATGCCGGTCGCGACGCTCTGCAGGAATCTGCTGGCGTCCGTCGCCGCCGGGCCGACCAACGCCCTGCACTTGTTCTCCACCTTGTCCCAGGCGCAGTACGGGTCCTGCAGGGCCACGCACTCGCTGCACGACAGTATTCTGTCGCTATAGCAACGATGGAGTCTCAGAGCCTGCACCTGACTGTCGGCGATGACGACCAACCGGCCGTCCTCGAGACCGTCGCCCGCCTGCGAGGCTCGGACGACCTTGATGCCGCGAACGGGTACGGTCGGCGGGAACGCCTGTATCTCCTCGATCACGACTGGACTGACCTTCTGATGAGAATCGGCGGACTCGGCGTTCACCGCCTTGATCACTTTGCCGTTGTCCGTGCCGATGAAAAGGACGTCGTAGGTTTTGCCGCCCGGTGTCTTCACTTGAGGATCCACGGCGATCTGAGTGAATCTGTAACTGAGTATTGGTAGAGTCATGGTTATCGACGCTTTCCGACCTGTCGCTGTCATCGTCGAAGTTGAACGCGCAAGGCGACCAATTTACATGCTATGATTCACTCGTTTGCGTTTCGCTATATGAAAAAAAGCGATCCTCGGGGGGAAATAAAAGCGTTTTATCAACGCTGAACGTATAGTAACGTAAACCACGCTCGCACCGGCGCAAAACACGAGACGCGGCGATGCGCGATGAAAGCTCGAAAACGAAAGCTGGATTCCGCGAGCGAGCGATCGAGCGCGCGCGTCGTTTGCGTTCAATTTGGATTTCAGCTCGCGGCCGAAATCTCCCGAGCGATTTTCACTTACTGAAAACTGGTGCGTATAACGATCGGCTGGCCGAAAAAGCTCGGCACCGACTCATCCATCAGCGAGTGCGTGTTGATAAAGTTGAGCGTCAGATCCGGCAGTGTACGCGAATCGTTGGTGCATTGACCGGGTCGCGGGTCCGGGACCTTCGTATCCTGCACCGGCAGCCAGTTGGAGTTCAGGGCGCTTTGCTCCTTGAAATTACCGGCGAAGGTGTCGGCGATGTCCTGCAACGAGAACGCGCACACCGCCGAACCGCTTATGCTGTTCACCGGCGTTGTGAAGGTGCCGTAAATAAGCTGGGCGGACGTGCCGCCGTACTGACCCGATATCAGCTCGGTCGTTGACTCTGCGATCGAAATATCATTTAGATTGCTTGTAAAATGTATCCTCGAGGATATAAAAATCATCATATAAATATAGAAACAATAAATATAAGAATGGTAAAAATAATATAAAAATAATAAATATAAAAATGATCACAGCGATTAATCCTACATCTACCATATTCGTACTCCGTTTTTGGATACTTATATTCGAATCAATTGTTGATATTATTCTTTAGGCTTAACTTTAACTTGGAGACAAAAATCCTAAAAATTTGACTAGATCTAAAAATACTTTCATTGAATAAAATAATTATGTACGGTGTTTAAATGGATTACTAGAGAACACCAAAAATGTTTGCAATATTATTATCACGCTTAAGCATCTAATATAATATAATATAGCATCTAATATAATTTTAATAGCTCAAGAAAATTATTTTTAGATTTGTATCTATGAATTTTTGGATCAGCAAAATCTCTTTTTCCGTTGCGAATTTTTATGAATCAAGCAAGAGATTCGATTAAAGAAAAATCAAATTACTCATCGTTTGTATAAAACGAAAACAGACAGTCAGTATATTTTTAAAACGCAGATGGATCCCCGTCAGTATAAAATATCGCAAGGAAATAAAATGTTTCAGGTTCTCTTTTATTATATAGCGAGTCTGAGGAAGCAGATGCGAGTACAATGTATTCTGAAGGCGAACGGTAGATTGAAGAGCTCGCACAATCCCCTGTGCGAGCATAGTCCGTTTACTTACGTATCTCGTTAAAGTAGAATGGGAAGTCTCCGGTGACGGAGCAATTGAGACGCGACTTCAAGAAGGACGTCCACCTGTTACGGAAACGATGCGGTCCGCCCCGATCGTATTTACAGACTCGCGCCACGCGAGAGTAGACGGCCTGCGAATAGCGAAAATTGCGCCTCGTAAATTTCACTGCGTGGAGCGTAGGGCAAAAAAAAAGTTTTATATTTTCCCGCCTGTGGTCCTCATCTCGAAAAATATGTGTCACGGAGAAAAAGGACGAGAATGAGGAAATCTAGTTTCAGCTTTTATGCGCGTTATTAAAGTGACACGCACGTTTTCGGGCAGTACAGCAAAAGCGTCGCACGAAGATTGCGCGGAACTTCCGCGCGGAACAACAGCCCCCGGTGGGGTACGAAATATCGCGCGACTTCCAGAAAAACGCAATTCGCAAAATACACCGATGCGATACGCCGCGGCGTGAAAGAGGATAAAACGGCACGAGTGATTTAAGAGTGAATTTATCGTGGGCCATAATTAAAATAGAATTCGCGAGCGTGTACTCGAGCACGTAAACGAATATAAAACGGGGGAGAAAACGGAACGGAGCGCGCTCGCGCGATTTCGAAGATCTCAGGAAATGATTTATTGTGCCCCGCCGAGATTATAAATTTATTCCAGGTCGCATAAAATTTCTCCGCGGGAGGAGCCCGCAATCTTTATCCATAATACCGCGCGTCCCAACTTTTTCTCAGCCCGGATTTATCCTTCACCCGCCGTAAAATTATGCGTCATTATCAGAGAGCAAGGAAAGCTCGGGCTCCGCCTTTGACAATAAGTCGAGCTTCGACTTAAGCTTCGTCCACAATGAATCCGACGCTAACAGTTTTTCGTTGTGCCGCTGCGAGCACGGCACGCCCCGGGGAGACACTCGTCTATGTGTGTGCGTGTAACGAGGAGAAGAGGTGACGAGCTTCTCTGAAAGCTTGATCTTCAATGCGAAACGACGAACGAAAGAGACGTAATCGCCTTATTCGTTGTTAAAAAACGTCCGGAGAGAGTAACAGCGCGCCGGTACGGACTTTTGCGAAACTTTTGCGCGTATTATCCGACTCCGACGCGAAATTTAATCTTATCCGACGCGATTCTTCCACTCCATTGTTATCCGTTGACCGTGCGCTAATTCGCCGAACAAAATATTGTGACGGGACTTTTATATAGTGTCGCGAGCCCGAGCTTTTATCGTGCAAATTTCGGTTACCGTGAAAGCGGCGGGATATTAAATCGTACGCGTGAAAATGACGCGGCGGAGGTTAATGGCGAAAGCTAATGCCACGTAAGCGAGTGTAGCTTCCCTTAATTGCGCGGATCGATTCTTATCGTCGTGACAACACGATCGCACACAAAACGGTGTTCCATAGAACTTCAGAGTCCTTCGAAAAATAAACGTTTTGACTGCAACGACAATTCAATGATTACACGCACGCATGGGTGTATCCAGGATTCTTTTTCAAGAGTGGAGTTTATCAATTTTGTTAACACAATAAACAGTAATTTGTTGCATTAATAAATAAATTTTTTTGATATTGTAGAATTCTCGTTCCTGATTTTGAATGAGAAAAATATTAGATTTTTGTAAATTATTTAACATTCTTTTTTTTTTTTTTTTAATTTTCGTAGGGGAGTTTGAACCCTGTCCTTGGATACGCCCATGACTACGCTCTCTTGGAATATATATTCGTGATACATGGCGATGATTAATTGCCGATGATTCCTTACCTTGCCGCAATTGATATATTCTACAGCGGTCTCCCTGAAGAAGAAGTAGACGAAGTCTCCTTGGGACATGGAGCTCACGAAGTTCGGTGCTGCAATTAGAATATGTAGCTATTATTACTAACTGCGCTATTGCCATCGCGCGCGCGGGGCCATAGTAAATGGCACCATAAATTCCCCTTATAAATAAATGAGCGTAATAACCACCTAGCGGAACGCAATCGATGGCGGTGTAATAAAGCAGACAACGCTCATACAGCACCCGAGAAAATAAGGGGGGGGAAAATCTCGCGCCGCGATTTGTTTAAAAACTTCCATTCCTACTCGACGCGATGTCGCGCGATGAACATTAATAAAATTTTCTCGCGCGCATTCGAGCGGCTCAAAAAGTTAAGGCAACGGGAGTTACCGGGTTATTTACGCTAACAAACGTTCCACTTAATTGTGCCATTAATTTCGACAAACGCCGTAATTAATTGAGCGTAATTACCAACGATTAAGCGCATCAAGACACTCACGTTGACAAACGACGCATTAGCCAGATTATTAACGCTCGAAAATTATGTACTCCTCTCATCGTTGATGATAGTCTACCGCCGGTGAAATAACGAACGGCCAGAAACGGCGAAAGTGAATCAAAACGGCCCCGTTTACCGCCTCCGCGGAACACGGAAGTTGAGCAACTTTCACGTCTGCCCCGTTGGCGGTATTAAAAACCCCCGCGTCCCAGGTATACGCGCACTCTCCCAGCCTCCAGATAACCCTCCTCCCTGCCGTTCAATAAGCCGGGCTACGCGTAAGAGATTCTTTTATTTTCCCTCGGTTATAACGTCGTGTTGCCCGGTAAAACGCCGCCGTCGTCTCCGCCACGTCGCGGTTCCGCCGCCGTTTCGGTCGGCCGCCCGATAAAGTGGGAAAACTTTATCGATTTATTAACTTGACAGGGTTTTCATAAGCTTCTTAGGATTCATAAAGTAATATTAATCTCGCCATGCCACGTAGGTATATCCGAACGACCCGTCGCTCTCTGTCCCATAAATTCTCCTCGTTTTACCCAACCCCTTAGCGAGAGAGCTCCTCCAGCTCTCTCTCTCTCTCCCTTATCTCTTTCTCTCTTCCTCTGTCTGTCGCGTCGCCGGCTTCGCTCGCTTCCTTCCTGCCTTCCTTCCTTCCTTTCTTCCTTCCTCGCTTCCTTTCCACCTCGCGTCCCATGTCGCGTTTAACTGCACCTCCGCCACGGAGACAAAGTGCCGCGGAAAATTCGCGGTGAAGACGAGGCCTCTCTTTCACGAAAGGGAATAACGCTCTTCCGTTATTCTCCCGCGGGAACTCACCTTTCCTGATCTCCCTCCGCGGCCGATTAGGGAAAAATGCTTTCTCCCAGATCCCCGTCGTCTCCCCGCGTCTTCCGCGCCTCGTCGGGAATCATTCGGCCGGAGATTTTCGATTCGCGATTCGCCGAGGAGGCGACGCGGCGGGGAAGCGGCGCAGGATGGCGGCGGGATGGAATTGAATTTTCGACGAACGGAGAGAAAATCAATATTGTCCAACGGGTGGAGAAACTTGATTAGCGCTCTCGTACACCGTTCAATTAAAATACTCCCGGCGGACTGGGGGTCCCTTCCGTCTCCGTCTCCGCCTCGAGCCAAGTGACGTATCAATTTTAACGCCGTGACGACGAAGACGATATACTTTAAAATTTCGTATAATGAGTGATACAACGCCACGAAAATCAGATTTTAATTTGTTAAAAATCCACAGATGGATCCATGCGCGATGTATGGATGGCAATGTTGCGAACAAAGAAAGAACCCATCGATAACCGTGGAAATCATAGCGTGTCAGCATGTTTCAAAAAGCGACAAAAATCTGTTATGTCTACGGCGTTAATTAAAATCGTGTTTAAATTTCGTTAAATAGAAGAGAAAAAAAAACATGCGGTATATTTTCGCATATTGCGTATGTACTCAAATGAAAAAAAATACGAGATCAATGTAAATTTTGGATATCAAATAAAATAGAATCCCGTTCGACCGAACGCGATTTCAAACGACACTGTCATTTAAAAATCACGTAGTTACTCGACTGCGGCGAGTGTCGCAGTTCCCTGCTCTATAGACGGTATCTTACAATGCAATGGGGTCGCATTACAATCTCCAGAGCAAATTTCGAGCCGATGGGCACGGCGGGTGCTTTCCATCGTTACACAAGCTCGGAAGATCCGTGGAATAATCTTGGAGCAAGTACGACGAGAGAGCTTAGAGAACCACGTACACGCACGGTTAATCCCGGAATTACACCGTGTGGATTAGGAAGCACATCGGGGGTGCGCCGGGGGTGCGCCGGGGGTGCACCGAGGGAAGGGGGGAGGGTGGCACGGTCGCGGCTCCGATCGCGCGGTATTTCTGAATAATTTTCCCGGGACGCGCGCACGGCGGATTTTCAAAGTCGATCCCGGGCGCGCACCGGCCGAAACTTGGCGTGCAAATATTGAATCGAACTCGCAGTTGAACTTTAATGGACGCGGATGTGTATTATGCGGGAGCTGCTGTGTGATTTTCAAACATTCCGACACGTGTTTACCTCCGACGATTGCCTTTCGCCCGAGAGGGATCACGTTTTTGACGGCAACGTAACGGTAGCTCGATAAACGGCAATAATTTATTATCCGCGATTGGAATATTAATAGGGATAATTGCAGAAATTGATAAGCATTGATGAAATGATATGATTAAAGTCGCGGGTGATAATAGCCTCGGTGATAAACCGAGTCGCGAAGTATAAGCGAAAAGTTGGGGAAAGTTTCAATTCCGTTCACTTCATTCAACTTCTTTTTTTTTCTTTTTTTACTTTTGTATAAGATTCCGGCCGGCTTATTGATCATTCTCATTTAATATCGGATTAGTCCACCTCCATTCTAAACTTTTCTTATTCGATTCTGGATAATGTGAATCCCGGTAACTTTCTTCCGTAAACTTCCGCAGATACCTTCGATAAATGCGAACTATTGTCTTATTGTTAAGAAATGCGAAGTTCGGAAAGCGCTGGGACTGAGAGCCGATACAGAGAAACGCAAACTTTCAAGAAATACAAATAGCTGGTTCTTTCGTTACAATTCCTCGCAATTAGAAAGTAACGATTGAATTAATCGGATCTTGGATTATAAGCTATCGATCGCATTCCATTAGCTCGGTCTAATTGCGACTTGATCTCGCGTCTCTTAAAATCGCTATTTGCAGAGAAATTACCGTCCTCGGATACTGATCCCGAAGGAACGAAACAAACAACGAAAAATAAACCAATTTACGCGGTTTCAGAATAAATATTTTATCTTGTAATTGCGAGCGAACTGACCGTTTCGCAAAAACAACGAACTTGGAAATTATAAAATTCCTTTTAGGACAACATTCCCGGCAACATTTTCAAGTTTGCCTCCCTGGCGTTAATGTTAATCTATCGGGCGGCTCGCTGCGATGAAAATTAATATTCCGAGTTTCGATCATTAACTACCGACTTCAAACGGCGCACTTGTCGCCGTGTCGAATTAATGGCGAAAGCGCGCCGCGAAAATGAAAATTGATATCCCGAGTTTGCGATCGGAATTAACCGCCGACTTTCAATGTAAATCAGCAGAAATCAGCAGAATCGCGATCATTAAGCGTCATCAATCACCCGGGCGGGAATTGACGGAATTGAATTAGTTCTTCTCGCTCACCGTTCAGACTCATCGAGTCGTACTGCTCGGTTTGCAGGGGCTCTCTGTAGATTATTGGGTCCATGCCCGCGAAATCGGCGACCGTGCCGGTGTAGAGTTCACCGTCGACGTAGACGAAGGTGCTGTTGTGCTGCGGATCGTACGGACATCTCGCCTGGCCGCCCTTCTCCTTCACGATCGTGTAGTTGCCCGCGTGCACCGTGTAATCGCGGCACATGGGCTTGAAGGCGTTGGTGGCGCACACGAAGAGATTGTTCGGCCCGGTCTTCACCAGGATGCGAATGTAATTTTGGCAGTTCTCCTCGGGCGTGCCCTTGACGACGCACATCTTCACGTCGTTCTCCGTCGAGTACCAGGTCAGCCTCTGCTGCTCCGTCAGGTCGGTGAGGCTGAGATTGTGCACGAGATTTCTGAAATGAGATCGATACAATTTCTTATTTAAAATATTGCAAAAAAATGCTAGTAAGGGTGGTAAAGTGTTGCACGTAGGTTGAACGGGAAGTGCATGGGACTTTTGTGATAAAAAGAATAAAATGCAATCTTTACCTGAAATTTTCGAAGTAAAAAGAATGCTCGAAGGTTTACTTTAAACTCTAGATTAACATGGTCATTGCTGCTGGCACCTTTCGCATTATTACGAGGAGTATCAAGGAAGCGAAGGACTCTAACGCACGTTGGATGGAGGAAAGAGTTTTCCCAAGTTGTGCAAACTTAGATGCCTAAAGTAGACATCAACGGCGGAGCAAGGCTGCCTGGTTAACACGGGTTTAGCTGAGAAAGCGCGGCGTTTGTGTAAAGTTTCGGCAGTCGATCGTTAACTCTTCTTCATTAAGCACTCCGCCGTATGCTTAGAAGCACTTTAAAGGGGAAGAATCTCCCTCCGCGCTCGCTCCATCGCGCAGATCGCTGATTTTGCCGGGGATGTTTCGCGGAATAATCGCGAAACATCCCCGTATTATAAGCCCCCCGTATATACGTAACGAGCAAGAAAACGAATTTTCGTATCATCAGACAGAACGCACGCGGTGATGGCCGTGGCGGCGGCGGCGCTGGCAAATCGGCCGAGCAATTAGTGTAATCCGATCAATAACGAACGAGCCTGGATATATATCAGAGTTCATTCACGCACAATGCGTTTAATCCGTGTACGACCTGATTATCATCATCGCTTCTGCCGACTGATTTCAACGTTGGAACAGCGCGTATTCAGCGCATACGAAACGTGAATAGATTGATCTGCATGCACGGCCCGAGAATCCGAGGGAGAAGGAAAAAAAAAGGGGGGAGAAAGCGCGCTAATCGATCGGTCGGGAGCGCAATCGAACGGTCTGAATACGTCCCCTAATGACGAATCCAAAGCCCGCATTTATATACACGTACATACAATATATTTATATATTTATACGACTTGCGTCCGCAATTATTTCGCGTATTTGCTAAATCCGAACTTAGACGTTTATCTCCTTTGTAGTCACACGTGGAAAATTTCGTGATAAGGAGATTAATATGCGTATTTACGTATATTTTACAGACGGCAATGATTTAATTCACATATAGCTCATCGATAATCGATCGAATATGGTCCAATAGTCGCGATAATATGACATCTATTGTTGCATTTGACATGATTAATTATCTCATTACGTATATAATAATTTTTGTTTATGTATATTGAACGAAATTGATTGTTTATTATCCTTTGATAAACAGATTATATAAATATCAAATGTATTATATTATATTAAAGATATTTTTCGAGACCCGGTGCTTGTCGAGAATATCTGTGTTCTGATACATATTTCTATAGTACAAAACAATGTATATTACAGAAATGAAATTATGATAGAGAGCTTGGAGTAGTATACAGCGATTAATAATGCATTTTGAAGGTTATATACGATTAGCAATATCGTTGTCAAACAGGAAATTCATAATTATTTAATGATATTCCAGCGAGACCGTGGTGATGTACGTATAATTAATTTCTACAATTAAAATCATCTCTATTACCAAAGTCCATACATCCCGATGTAACGCACTCGTTCGAGATCAATGTATAATTTAATGATCGATATTAAAAAATTCGCGAACTCTTGGGCTAAATCCCCAATCGGGGATTTAGCAAATATTTAAGTGACGATTTTCCAGATTGACTTTAATCGAGGGAAGTCGGCTGAACCGGATTAAAAAACACTCGTGGACGGGTATTCGATTTTATGCGAAAATGAGTTTACACGTAACCCACAAAAGGAATTACACGATTTTCGATCTACCTCGAGATCACCGTTCATCTCCGGGCGCTCGAGCAAGCAGCGGTGCAATGATACGTCGGAAGATGGATAGGACGGGAAGAGGTAAAGAGGAAACGGGGGAAAGAACGAGAAGAGGCAAAGGGGAAGAGGAATAAGAAGAAGTGGAAGAAGAAGAAGAAGCGGCCCTTTAATTAAAGCACTAGCTCCAAATGAATCCTCTATTTACCTTCCGCCGACCAGAAGATAGTTCCCGTCCCTGAGCACCAGCCGAAAGTAGTCTGTGTGCGTCTCGTTTCCCGTAAACCTGAACACATCCTCCGCACCTGGAAAAGAAAAGCAGAGGAAGGGTTTCGGATTAGTTTTTGTTCTATCGCTTGAAAAGTGGAATTACCTTATTCTATCTAATTAGCCGTCGACAGCCATCGACATTGCTCTTTTGTGACAGTCGACAGTCGGCTCGTCCCCTCTTCCCCCTACCGCGAAGGGCCGGAAGCCGGCCTTAATAAGCGTAATAAGCTTCCTTTTGACCGCGGACCCGATGAACAATGCCGATCGATCATTAGCGAATCAACTGCGAGCGGTCTTTCTTAACTTCGCGAGCCGGCTAAAAAACGCCGGTGACGTCTCTATTATCCGTTAATTATCCATTGACCACGATTTGCAAAATTGCGATGCTATTATAAATGTTCGATGCATTAAAACTGATTGTAATCGAATTCGTAACGTGATAACAGCAGGAGGAAGATCGTAATTATAGGTATTTTTATCGTATCGTTACTTTTAAATTCCGTATATTTTCATTTTTTATTTATACGAAGTATTCCTTCGAACAACGAAATAGTCATGTTCAACGTTCGTAAAGTGAAACATTAATGACTACCTCGCTAGGTCCCGAGTGTAATAAGCAGAAATTTCTGGGGCAATCAATGCCGATCGCAGCAATCTCGAAACCAGTGTTATGCAATTCGGTATACATATACCGTAAATTGCACCGTCACACTGACGGCGTGCAGCGTATGTAGGATGCAATATGACCTTATTAAATATTAGTATGCCATGTGCGACGTAAAAGAAACATGTTTCTAGGATGATATTTTATGATAATAATAAATAGGTCACGATAAAGAATTATTTAAGACATTTCTCGCGATGTGTCTCTCAATTTCTCTTCGCATAAAAAACATGTGTCAGGAGAAATACAAAATTTCTGTCATGTTTTAATATCGATGTATTTCAATCAATTTTCAATAATCTTCTTCGTGCGCAAGAAACATATGAGAAGCGATCATATTACATTCTACGGATATCAACCAAAAGCGTTCGTCGATTGTGAGATTCCAATGTCATCGATCAATCGATGCAGAAACGGATAATATAAATTAAAAGAGTAATTATCAGACGATCCCATATCCTGATGTCACTCAATGTAAATGATCGGACTTGTGCATCCGGTGACCGTGATCTCAGGCCAGAGATAGGGATGCACTTAGTGCAACCAATCGCAACAGCAACAACGATTAAACAACGGTCTACGTCGGCTGTTCGCTCTTTGGAACGGAAATATTTCATTTATATCGCATAAATTAACACGCGATGCGAGTTATTTGTGCGATGTACCGAGAAAATTGACAAAAGGGAACCAACTTGATAATTTCGCAGCGAAATTTACTGCGCGAAGCGCACTTATCGCAAATCGTTTGTCTCGGACAAGAATTTGGATTTCGCTATAATCCGAAAAGCGCTGCAACACAAACACAAACGGCTGTGTAATCCAACTAATTGCGCCATATTTAAATGTGATTAAACGTCCGTATTTCAACCTCACTTATTGGAATGCGTATGATAATTATTCCGAGCTTTGCACATTCAACTGCCACTCAATGTCAACCACTGAACCACCCTCTATCTGATTTATGTAATTCGAGTCATGGATATATACGTGCGTTGCAAGTAAGCACGGATACTGACCATATAATCACAAATGTTTGTTAAATAACATTCAGAGCGAACCAATCGATCATTCCGAATGTTATTTAACAAACAATTGCAATTGACATTTTTAATCGTTATCCACCGTACGTGGATTACGCAAGCTCATGATTACATTGATTTGTATAGGAAACATTTATATATATAAAACGGTTATATATAGAAAATATTTATATATGGAATGTTTTATATATATATATATATATATATATAGGGGGCATTTTCTATATGAATGGATACATTAAAATATCACCTTCCGCCGGGGTCGACGATCGGCTATCGTTAAACGCATCGGTGCCGATCGATTTCGATAACTGGAGAGAAGGCACGCCCTCCCTCGCCCGTCCAAGTACGTGCAATTTGGGTCAGATATAGACAGTAACAGCGGTAACAGAGGCACTGCCGATGAACGGATACGATGCTGAAGCAGGCTATTATCGAAAGCATCATACGTCTTGCCGTAGAAACGAATTAACGTCATGTTGCCGGGCGTTACGTCCGTGCCGCTTGACCGAGGGCGAGGCACGAGAGAGAGAAGAAGTCAGATGGATGAGCATCCAGCTTGATGTCGAGAGACCGAGCGAGGATGACGTGCAACGTGGAGGAAGAGAGCGAGAGGAATGGACGCGCGATGGATCGACGGGTGGCTAGATGGTGGCATCCACCGCCTATCCTCTTTCTCTGATTGCCTTCGAAATTAAACGGGCCGAGTGTGTATACCGTAAACTCCCATCAACTTCGGGACGCGCTCGGTTATCGCTTTCCAAAATTAGCCGTTCGATTTTCGTCGCGGGTCGCGTGTCTTGAAATTCGAAGGGCGACTCGAGGACTCCGGAGGAAGTGGATTTCCAGGGGCATCTCGTCTTACCACGGACTCGTCCGCCGCACGTGGCAAATGCACGGACATTATAAATAATTGGCCCCGGTCAAAGGAAAATTTGTGATCTGCTCGCGAGGAGGTATTATTAAACGTCACGTGGTTTATCTGGTGACGCCGTCGATTTCTCTCTGTAGGTGTCAATTATATCACGGTCGATCAATTTTTGTTCCTCTATTTGTGAAATAATTATCACCTTGTGCCAATTTTTGCAATATTCTTACATTACCCACGTCCTTGGGATATTAATATGCGCGTATTAACGATAACGCGTGAAATATTGCTCGAGGTATTTCTCTATTTTATGTAAAAAAATAGTTGTAAATGCTAAACATTTCTCTTGATACATTTTCAAAGATCGCCGTACCGTATTGAAATCTGGCTCTCTTTAGAAATGCCGTTCTTCGATACGATCAGTGAAAACCTTCGATTGAAAGGACACGCAATACGAGCCCCCATTACCGTAGGAAATTCGTCCTCGTTCCTCGTCCTTTTCTCCGTCGTTCCTTTTGTTCCGCCGTCCCGTCGACGAATGGTGGAACTTCGCATCTGCCAGCCATTTGCGGTTAACGTCAAGTTTCGAGCAACGAGAGGCGCCCTGATATTCGTGAAAGCCGATACAAAATACAAGCCGTGGATATGTATCGGCTTTCACGCTGCTGCCAGCGGAGCATAAAAACTTGTACTACGGAATACGTACACTGACGGGTGAATTCATCGTTTCGAGTTGCTTCGTCTCACAATTATTTTACTTGTTATCAAAGATGTTAGTGTTCCGCATACAAATGCATGCTACGTACAGTAAGTAAATACATAATCTATACATAGATGTTAATTTTTCAATGATAACTACGATTTGTATATAGCTACAATTCGGGTCTATTTCAATAATACCATCTCATGCGTTTAAATTGCAATTTTCGTAGAATTGATAACTGAAAGCCAATATTTTAGCAAGGAATCGGGAGATACAATTGAAACCGCTCCCGTCGTGCTCCCGAGAGCAACGATTGTTCCTGGAATGTTAAAAAATTGACCGAAATCGATTTATCCGCTCTTTCCGTTCGATCTCTACAAATTACATATATAAGCTTCTCGGGGGCCACCCGGCAAGTGCTGCGATTCGAAAATATTGAACGTGTATCCAAAGTTACGACTCGCCCGTCAAACTTCGCAGATCAAACTTTTCCGGAAAACGCTTTCGCCATGCAAGAGAGCAGAGATGGAGGAAGAAGCGAGAGAGAGCGAGAGAGAGCGAGAGAGAAAGAGAGAGAGAGAGCGGATATTTATCACGTGTTTTGGAAGAGAGGGAGGAAAGAAAGAGGGACCGACTGTTTCACGAAGTACGAAACGATGGCGTGCGGCGAATGTCCGTGACTGGTGGGCGGATTGCTTATCAAGAAAGACGGAACGACTCGTGAAATGGCAATTAAACGCACGATCGTCCTGCGTTAAGATCGAACCACTCCTGCGTGTCGACGTCGATCACGGTGGACGCCCGCGCATCTTCCGTCAGTTAATCCTGACTGACGCGAAACGGTGCACGCGCCGCGGTTAAATGATATGGGTGACGGCCGAGGCAATTTGATGTACTCAAGATTGGCGGTTATATATTTGGATGGACGTAGCTATCAACGACGGAAAAGAATCACGAATTATCGATCCATTGGTGATTACGAACACACCACCACAGGCATAACGAAGATACAGGCGGACGTTATCGGCGGACGTTATCGTTATCTAAACCATTCATTCCAAACACGATGGAATTTTAACGGACTGATATTTTCTATAAAATCATCGGTGATTTAGTTCTGACGAAATCATAGAAGCATTGGATACAATGTGACAAACTGAACTGATTCAATTCGCAAGCTGAAAATATTATACTCATTGGTATTTTTTTCGTGAAAATAAAAAAAAACGTTCAATGTACTCGCTTAATTTTCGATCAGCTCGTCGTGATCTCGCAAGATTGCAAGATAATTTTATATAGGATATTATAGCTAGTTTACTAGAGTCGTAAAGGTACGTATTATTAGATGCGGTATCGCTAAAAACGAGGGGATATCGCGTATCATTTCGACACTCCGATTAAAGAAACGCACCGCATTATTGACACGCAGTCAGTGCGAGTCGCGTTCCCGTCACGTGCTACTCCGAGCGCACGTCAGCGCACGCACGTGTGCCACACGCGACGACGCGGGAGACCTAATTTCCGGCCTCTCAGCGGCGTGCCAATCGCCGATTGGCGGCGATTGGCGGCCATCAACTCTCTTCTCGCCCTCGGAAGTGCGGATTATCCCGCGCGGTATGCCACACAAGTGGATGCGGGAAAGAGGGCCTCCTGTCGCCACAGCGGGTAAGGCCCCCCTTTCGGTGTAACTCCGCCGAACGAGAATCATTAAAGTTTCGCACGTGCCTGGGGTGCCGTGGCACCGGGGGTGAGCCCGAGCCCGGCCATTATTTTT